AAGGGTCCACACTATTTGTATCTTACTGTAATTTGAGACCCTTTTGGTACCTTTGTGGCTCTTCAATTTGATTACCCATATGTCAACTTGATTGTATTGTAAAACTTACGTTACATGAGTAACGTAAATAACATTTTGATTTTCATCAGTTTTAAAGTTGATGGTCCACGTTCTTTGTTCAGTTTTCAAACACTTCAGTTTTCAAACGTTTGGGATTTATGGCAACCATTAAGCATGCCATTAAAAGCTTGATGGAAGCTTGGTTATGTACATTATTTTGGTCCCTAAGCTCAAGAACTCGAATATACAGAAAAATACACCAGTAATAGAGTGTCTTGAGAGCTTAGAAGATCCAAAATACTGCTCGTGAGTTTGTTTCAATGGCTGGAGGTAATTCTTGATTCCTAGTTTATAGTTTAAGAATATTATATTCTTTGTATTTCTGTTTAGATTACAGATAAGATGTCTTACAGTTGGTATCAGAGCCATATAATACCTCTGCCTTGATGTTTTGCAAAAGAATTTTTTTAAGCTCTCTGTTCATGGCCGTTTGAAATTTTTTTAAAAAAATCAAAGTTTACCNCTAGTCCACCTTTACTAAAAACATTTTAATGAATTAGTAACATGTTTTGTTTCTTATAATACATATATTGATTACGGGGCCACTATGTCATAGACATGGTAGGAAGAATTGAACTTGTGTTCAAATATTTATCAGGTAATAACTACATAAACCAACAAGCCAATTTACTTTTTGTTTCCAACCTTGGTTCTTCAACATGCATTTCCAGATCTATGTAAAGAGCACATACTGTTTTTTTTAGGAAGCAGAATATAACTTCAATTAAAAATGGTCTAGGGGTTTCCTTTTTTCTTTAGTGGTGGGTACAAGCATTGTTCTAAAAACCGGAATGGACGTCCGGTCGGACTGGTTCGACCGGCAATCGGCGGCAAATCCGGTCCGGTATATATAAAAAACCGTCATTTTGATTTAAACCGGATTGGACCCCGATTGGACCGTCGGAATAGTGCCGAATCAAGGTCCAATCGCAGCTAAACCCCTCCGGATTCTAGCATCTTTCGACGGAGAAAACACCCCCATTCGACGAACGGCATCTCCACAACCAAAACCATCCATTTTCAGTTGCCGTCGTCCAGTCTATGTCGATCGCCGTCCACCTAAAGTTCACCCGACGTCCGATTTCTTTTGTTGATTCCGACGAGTTCCAACGATGATGGAACTCCTTAGCACCACCATCAGAGTCGTCGGAACCTACACATCAAAAGTCCCAAGATTCCAGCTTCAATTGGCCGTTGATCGTCGTTGCCGCCACCACTCACTAGAATCTTCGCGCGACAGAGGTGTTTTAGATAGATTTCAAACCTTAAAGGAGTGTTATAGGGGTATTTTTGATGAATTTCAAACTGTTAGGGACTAAAAATAATTTTACAAATTATGGTCCAACCGACCGATCAACTGATCAAACCGGAAATCGGATAGGTCATTGTCCGGTCCGGTTTTCAGAACATTGGGTACAAGTATCTAACCATTTACAGGAGCTAGCAGAAATTCTGGAAAATCAAATAAGCTGAATTCTCCTGGCTTGTTCGATATTGCAAATATCATTAAGTGCTCCTTCCACTGCAATCGATCATTGATACCAAGTTCTCCGTTCTGTATATTTGGGTAAGCCCCAACTTGCCAGCAAGAAAAGAAAATATTTATTAATTAAAGGGAAATGCAGAAGATTAGCCCTACTTTAGGAAAGGAAAAGACAAAAAGGTGACTTCGTCAAGATTCAAAAGCATTGTAACAGTCATCTAAAAGTTGAAGATTGAATGGGGTTTGAAGAAATTTTTAAACCAGCAAAGGGATTATTATTTATGAATAATAGTGGAAAAGGGTTTTTTTGGGATAAAATTTTTAAACCAACCAAAATACCCTGATTTGGGGTATTTTATAAACCCCTCAAAAATATACTATACTAGTTTTCGGGGGTTTTTAGATCAGTCAAAACTAGTCTATAAAAAATCTGCCAAGTAATGGTTTTTAAACACCTTAAAACCAGTCTAATTAAAAACTCCTCAAAACCAGTGAAAAAAAAACTCTCAAGCATACCCTAGAGGAATAAGAATCGGAGACGCCAACCTCTAAAAATAGGAACGGCCATAGGCCCATATCAATAGATTTTAGGAAAGGCACTTTACTAGGATTTATTCCACATTAAATGTTCAGAACCTTTTAAATTCCTTTTGTGAAATCTTACTTCACTTTTGTGTAACACTTTTCGTTAATTCTCTCTTTATCTCTTTGACGTTTTAAACTATTTAAAATATTTCCCAAAATCGTTAATAGACTTAATTACCCTTAGTAACTGCGAACTAACTTTGGATAATTTTGTTTAACCATAATATTAATTCTGGACATACTAAATTAAATTAAATCAATAATCTAATTTAATTAAATTAGTTCTAGCCCATTACTAGAATGGACTTATTAAATTAAACTAACAATTCATTTTTAATTAATTTAATTTAATAAGAGCTATTAGACCTTAACACATTAAAGCCCATTAATCCTTATATACAAAAAAAACATAAACTCTTTAATGACATCTTTTACTCCTACTACTTACTTAGACTATTGTCTATGACCTCCTAGATTCATTGTGATCTAGTCGTGAGCTCAATATCAAACCTGATATACTCCATCATTTCCTATTGTGATTGAAGTTCTCACTGATCATGGTAAGTACTTATCAGTACGTCATAACCCCTAAATCACAACGAAAATGAACTCTAAAAAACCTATTACAATCGTACATATTGTGTAGTAAAATCACTCTGTTATCTTATCCTGATCAAGAACAGGTTTATGGTATGCCAAAACTCATTTGAAACAATGTCATCACGAAACACATTCCAAGAAACATTTTTCTACCATGGCCAGAGATTCCTTTTTAATGTATATTGACTTTGTCTAGGAACTCGAGCTCATAAAATCTTGAGCCAACAGATCCCATATTGACTACCACCTGTCTTTGCACATAAACAACATATGGCTAAACAAGCTTATTACACAAGACGTGGTTAGTCTTATGTTTATATACTATATGAACCATAAGCATTTATGCCAAAGGCAACTAAGGCATCTCAGGTCTAAGGATTTGGTACACTAGTATGACTTTACGATAAATTATTGACAATGAATTAAACACCCATGTGATTTATCATGATTGGTAATATTTAATAAACAGTTCACTAACCATTTACCCATGCCAATGCCCTTGTGACATGAGACTCATCACCCAAACTAATGTTATCACATAATATTCAATGGAGGTCTCCAGTATGCTTGCCATGCAATGTCATTGCCCAATTGACATTACATTAGCAAGGAATACTTGTATATGTGATTAATCTAGGTCTCGTTTTATTTTTAACTTAAAATGAACATGATCAATTTATAATTCACATAAATTGGACAAACCACATGCTATAAATAACTATGAATGTGAAGCAGATAAAATAACATGTATATTATTCTCATTGCCATAAACAGTGAATAATAATAATACGTACAAGATCTCATGCTTTGAAACTGACAACACGATTGGTTCTTAGGGCATACACTAACAGTTCCAACAGCTAGGCAACTAGATCAGTTATAACAAATTCTTGACGACCTCCGAGCTCGTCAGGATGAGCAGTATGAAGAGCATGGAGGATCTCATCTCTTAGAAGTGGTGCTTCGAGCACCCCTTCCTCCAAATTTCAAGATGTTGAGCATATTGGCCTTTGATGGGAAAAGTGATCTTCAAGACCACTTGGATGTACTCAACAACTTGATGGAGCTGCAACAAGTCTCAAGTCTCGCCAAATGTCGTTGCTTGACCGTCACACTAGTTAAGGGAGTGAAAAAATGGTTCAGAGGTCTCCCAGCAGGCTCAATAGAATCCTAGAAACAGCTTGCCACGCTATTCCTCAAAAACTTCCAGAAGAGCAGGCGGTTTTCCATGCTGCCCAACTACCTCAGCAACATTTGGTAGGAGAAAGGCAAACGTTAAGATCCTTTTTTGGAAAGATTCAATCGAAAAAGAGTAAGGTCGCCAATGCCCCGTAGGTAGGGGTGGGATAATCCGGTTAACTGAATCGGATTAGGCAAATCGAAAACCGAACCGGTTATTTGGTTTAGCCAAAATTCAAACCAAAATCGGACCAGTTTCGGTTATAAAATCAATGCAAAAGGTGGTCCACTGAATAATATCAATGCAAAAGGTGGTCCACAAAATAATATCAATGCAAAGGGTGGTGCAAAACAGGTGGAGGCATGGAGCTTGTCTCCCTTCTTAATTCCTTTATAAGTTTTAACTACATAAAGTAGTTCAAAAAATTTAAAACAAATAAACACAACAATCATCAAGATGAGTTACACTACTTTCCACTTCCGGACATAACCAACTATTGAAAATCAGTTCACAACAAATAAACACAACAATTGTTCAAAACATTTAACCAACATAGCCAAAAAATTTAACCAACTTAACCAACTAAACCCTAAACCATTTAATCATCAATGATAATATACCTCATATATTGGAAATTTGAAATACCCTTCAATCATCAAGATGAGTTAGACTACTTTCCACTCCCGAAGAGAAAAACTCTACACAAAGTTGGACAAACAAGTTAGTTAAAATCATAAATAATGATGGAAAATATATAATTATAATTGAAAGTTAACAAAAAATGTCACCTAACTCAATTTTAGATAATTCCTCCAAGCTTTCCTCAATGGTCAATGGTCCACGCATATTCCTAATCCAATCCTGTATACAGATAAGAGCCTCTACCATCTTAGTAGTAAGGGGGCTACGAAATGGATCTAATACACGACCCCTTGTACTAAAATCCAACTCAGATGCAACCGTTGAAACAGGCATAGCCAACACATCTTGTGCTATCATAGAGAGTATAACATATTTTGTTGAATTAGTCTTCTACCAATTCAAGATATCAAAAGTTTTGTCGTTGTCATCCTCACAATCGTCTGCTAAATACTTATCCAACTCTGTTTTATGCTCAACAGCTTTCTTTGCGGCCTTTTTCTCATTATACATAACCCTCATGAAGTCCTCATTATCAACATTTACATCATGCACATCAGTGTCAATTGAAACTTGAGATTCCTCACTTGACTGCTCATTGTCATCCACCATAAGCAAATTGTATTGCTCAAATAAAGACAACAAAGCTTCCTTCATTTTTCTCATCAACTTGTTAGCTACAACAACATCATAGGCCTCATTAACTACCCAGTACACATATTCCAATTTGTGCCTAGGATCCAGTACCTCTGCAATGAATAACATAATGTTGATATTATCAACATTTGACCAATACTTATCAAATTTTACTTTCATCCGTGTAGCCATATTACGTAAGCCAAGATCAGGACTTTTACACCATGTTGAAATCTTCAACCTAACACCAATAATCTCTCGCATGTACGCATTACTAGTAACATAAAGAGACCCAGAGACACGTAGAGTAGCATCATAAAATACTTTCAAGAAAGATAACAAGTAGTGAGCATACTCCCAATCAGTACTCATAGGTAAACCTCGTGACCTATCACTACTAGTAAGCTCATCTGCATACTTACTATCTTCCAATGCCAACAACTCAAAAGCTTTTTGAAATTTTAATGCCGCTTCCAACATCAAGTATGTAGAGTTCCACCGAGTTTCTACATCAAGAATCAAATGACTTTTACTTCCGATTTTTTCTTTTTCCACATACCACTTAAATCTTTGTAACCTTGCTGGAGAAGACCTTACATACCTCACAACTAAACGTATTCTAAATATGGATTCATCCATTTCCTTTAACCCCTCTTTCACAATTAAACTCAAAATATGTGCACAACATCTCATATGTAAAAAATCACCATCCAATATACTTCCCTTCCAACTTGCTAGTCTAGTCTTGAGGTATCTTACCCCAACATCATTAAAACTAGCATTGTCTACTGTGATTGTGAATACCTTATAAATACCCCAATCAAGTAAACACCTCTCAACTGCCTTGCCAATTGTTATACCTTTATGACTAGTGATTGGACAGAAATTTAAAATTCTTTTTTGTAGTTGCCAATGATCATCAATGAAATGCGCAGTAAGGCACATATAATTAAGGTTCTGAACGCTTGTCCATGTATCAGTCGTCAAACAAACTCTGTGCGGAAACTTAACTTCTTCAACTTTTGGCACTCTCCAATATACATTTTGGAGCAATCTTAAACCTAGGTTGTGTCACATTCATCACGTTGCGAAATCCCTCATGCTCTACAAAACTAAAAGGTAACTCATCAACAATTATCATTTTTGCTATAGACTCTCTAATCAGATCTGGAACATATTTCCATGACACCAATGAATATTGTGCAGAGAGAGCTATGCCGCTTGAGAGATCACGTGATCCTTGTTGAAAAATTAGGGTCTTTTGTCTCTTGTCAGCCATATTTGGAGGATACTTTTTACATCTATTTAAGTGGTTACGTAGACAACTCGTACCACTCTTACTCGAACATGCTAGAACACTCCCACAGTAACTACATGTCGCAGTCAAATCATCCTTATTCTCACAATCGCTTTTAACAAAGTAATCCCACATTTGAGAACTATTCTTCCTGGTACTTGTATCCATTGCTCATTTGGGGGCTAAAGGTGCTGCTGGTGGCATGGAATTTGGAGTTGGAGTCGTACTTGTCAGTGTCTCATGAGTATTGTTAGCGGTTGATGACATCTACAATTCTATCAAATAAAAATATGCATTAAGTAAATAAGACATCCTTATAAATCATATTCTTTTATTTATTGACAATAACTAAAAATAAAAGAGAAAATTTTGGACATGTAAATTATAAAGACATCCATCAATTAATAATAAAACATAAGGCCACCAATTTACACATAGTCATGGGTCCATCCAAATCCAAATCCAACACAAATTCAATTCAATTTGCACAATTTCAATATAATGTATGCCCCATACAGTCACTCAATACGAGAATGCAAATTTGACTACTTTACTACATTACTCCTTATCTCAAAATTCTGTTTCTTAAATTAATTAAACCTTTTTTTTCGTAATATTAAATGTATAAATCTAAATAAAATGCAAAAGTTTCATATTTGAAAATTGGAGTTCCATTTATCTGGTTATTTAAAAATTGAAGATGATAACTACAGTTTTTGAAGGTAAAAATAGCTTTATTCGAATGATAACTATAGTATAGTGAGAGGAAAGTGAAAGTCAAGAGTTTGACTAAAATATTAAAAAATGTAATGACATTTTCATTACATTTTTACCCTTCAAGACCTAACCAATGTCTGATGGTTTTGGAGACAAGAAAATAAGCATCAGGGTCACATAGGAAAAGCTACAATTATTAGGAAACATAAGAAGAATTTTTAGCAAGGGGTGGCGTGAGCAAGTAAATGGATGGAGATTTGAGGATTAACATCAACAAAGTTCATACAGTTCATATTGCTATGATGCCCGTAATTCACATGAAAATGGAATTGGGTTAGCCAATACAAGAATGCAGGATGAGAAATGGCGAGGAAGAACTTTATGCAGAAAGCAGATGCTCTAAATCAACCAGAGGAAAAGCTAGCTCCTCATTCAAAATATCCATGGAGTTCAATTATCAGACTTAATAGCTAGAAGATAAACAGACCCCCTTTCATGATTAGAATGACTTTAGGTGTATGAACTTCTCTTACACAACTTAAAAATGACAAGGATCATTCGATCCTGACCCAAAAAAAAATAAAATAAAAAAATGACAATAATCAAGCCCTGAAAAGCAAACCCATATCAAGAAGGATAAAAATTAATAATCCTTGTCAATACACCACATAAATTTCATTGTTTCTAACCTAGCTTTTTGTATCTGGAACCAAAAACAGACTTGGAATAAACTGAAGAAGTTCCATACAAATGGCAAATTTCGAAAGTAGTAAAACATTACATACTCAAACAAAATTTAAATAGTTCTATAAAATGTCTAAATAGTCATCGGATATGTTACTGAATTAGAAGATGCTGGTGGTGGAGTAGGGGAGCAGCTTGAGGATTGCAGTCGCAGATCTGAACGGCGGTGGAAACTAGAGCTGTGGTGGTCGACTCTGGACTATCGTGACGTCGTCGCTATTCCTGGTTGAGGATTGCATTCGCAGAGTAGCGACTGTGGACTGTGATCTGTGGGTGGTTGTTGTGGTGATGCTATGGATTGTGGGTGAGTGGGGGTTGTTGTGAACTACAGTGCAACAACTGTGGACTGTCGTCGTCGACTCGTTGCTGGTGAGTAGGTGGTTATTATGCTGAATGGTGTTGTTGGGTGTGTAGGTGTTGGCGAAATGGATGCTGAATGGTGTTGCTGGAGTGGATGGGTGTGGGACTATCAACTCACTGTGGGTGGAGCTGTTGGGTGTTGGCGAACAGGCGAAATGTAAAGAAATGAAGAATTGAAGATGGAATGGAGTGAGTGGAGTCTGTTGTGTGCACTGTGAAGATTGGAGCTTGGAGGCGGAGAAGAGAAATATAGAAGTAGAGAATATTGCGAAAAAAATAAAGGCTTGCTTATATACTTAAGGTATAACCGGTTTTAAAACCGGTCCGGTTAATCGGCTTGAGATATTTCTCAAACCCAAAACAGAACCGGTTTTTTGGTTTTTAAAATTTTGTAAACCAAACCGGTTTGTAAAAAAACCTAATTTTCGGATTATTTCTCCCACCCCTACCCATAGGAGTCGATCAGAATGCTTTTCATCCTCGAAGTTTGGCCATAGATCAACCTGTGGAAGGAATTACAAGCTGAGGACAATGTGTCTCTACCTTGCTTCTACAAAATGGCAAAGAAACATATGTGAGTTAAGGACTCGCCAACCACCATAAAACATGGCAATGCTAAGAATTCAAGCAGAACTCCTACTCGGGATGAAGACAAAAGAAATGAGAGAAGAAGGGATGATCGAGATTGAGGTGATAGGGATAGATGCCAATCCCTGAAAAGGCAATGTGGAAAGCACAGAGGAGAGTATAAGAGAGAGTCTAGAAAAACTCATGTGTTACTCCCCAAATATGGCGAGTATACTTCCTTGGTCGCACCTTTCGATCATGTCCTTCTAGTGTCAGAAAGTTCCAAGATACTTCCAAAGCTTGAGCCAATGGTTGGACCACCTAAAAGACGTGACCCCAAGAAGTACTGTAGATATCACAGAGACATCGACAATGATACCAATAATTGTCGAGCTTTGAAAGATGTAATGGAAGACCTCATCAAGAGGGGTAATTTGAAAGATTAAGTGGATAGTTCGCAAGCTTGGCAAGAGTAGGATGGTTGAGAGAGTAGTGGGAAAGGTCCCATGATGTGATTAACATCGTCAAAATGTTAAAAGTCTAATATTTTATTTTATGACTCTTGTCCTTTTTAAGTTGTTTTAAAATGTTTGCAGATTAAATGCTAAACCTAGCCTAAGGTTCTATAACTCAATAATGATGCTTTGAGAAAAGAGATCACGCTATACTATAGCTAAGAAGAAGATGCCGCTATAACTCAAAGTCTAATAGCTTGAGAAAATGATTCAACTGTAACTCGAGGTTCATTCCTTTAGAAAATATATTGTTATAATTCCAACTTTGAGAAACAACCGCATGACTTGATGACAAGCGGCATGAGAAAAGCTCTCAACGAGCCATAACTCGATCGTGGTGTCTTAAGAAAAACTCTAACATAACTCGAAGGCTAAGTCTCGAGAAAGGTGCTCGATTGAAACTCGATGACATCCCGAGAGAAGCTCTAAATCTAACTTGGTGGCTAAGTCTTGAGAAAGGCGCCCGACCAAAACTCAATGACATCTTGAGAGGAACTCCAAACCTAACTCGATGGCGAAGTTTCAAGAAAGGCACTCAACCAAAAAGCGATGACATCCCAAGAAGAGCTTTATGCCATAACTCCAAGTGAGCCTACTTGAGTGACGAACGTCGTCATAACTCAAGAGCTATGCTTTGAGGTGGTTATTCATCATAACTCGTTGATAGCTGTGAGAAAGACGACTCAGTCAAAACTTGTACTTAGATACGAGAAAGCGACAACCTAAGACTTTTGAGTATGCCGACATGCAAAATAATTTTGAAAATGTAACTTGAGATGACCCACAACTCAATCAATACACATGCAAAGTAGCATTCACAAGCAATATCAACAAAATACACAAAGAACATAGAAACACAATGAAAAGCTATTTATTCATTGCATATGAAGTCATTCGTCCATTGCGAAGAGAGCAAAGGCAAAATAACAATTATTTATTAATTGTAAAAGTGAAGTCATTTACATTCGTCAGAAAAAAATATATAAAAAAGGGAATCAGTAACAAGCTCAACCAACTCTCAGCGGGGGGCTTTTTAGTGCTTAAAGGTTGGGGGTAGGCTCAACAGTAGGCTTCCTAGTAGTCATAGGTTAGTGAATAGGATCAACAGTGAGCTTTTCGATACTCGCAGGTTGAGAAGCAGGTTCAACAACAACCTCAACGAAGACGGACTCCGGAGGGACTAAGACAAGAGTAATGGAGTTGGTAACAACTTTTCTCTTCTCTTCCTCAATTTCCTCCAAGTAGTTCTTAGAAATGAAGGAGTAGTCAAGATCAGGGTACCTAGCCCACAAGACCTTTACAGCCTTCAATGTCCTTTCATAACTCTCGAGCTTGGCATTATAAGCAACCTCCTCAAGCTTTGCCTCCAGCTTAGCCTTCTCTAACTCAAGCATTTTCTTTGTATCCTTATGCACCGCCCAAGCTTGGTCCAAAGAGGC